GTACTAGGAGGTTGAACTCGGCCTCACAATTGTTAGGCAGGTGCTCTACCACTTCAGTCACTCCAACAGTACCAGCCCAGGGTTTCTGAATGGCAGAAATAATGACACTTGAGGCCAGAGAATTCTTTGTTGTTGGGGGTTATCTTGTGCATTGTAGATGTTTAGCAAAATCCCTGGCCTCTATTTACCAAGTGCCAGTAGCAACCATACTTCCAGTGTGACAATTAAAAAAGTGTCTCCAGCCAGGTGGCAATGATTCATAACTGTCATCCTAGCTACTTGGGACGCTAAGGTTGGGAGGATCATGGTTCAAGGCCAGCCAGGGCAAATAGTTTGCAAGACCCCATCTCCAAAAATAACCAGAGCAAAATTGAATATGAGGTGTGGCTCAAGTGGTGAAGAACCTGCCTTGCAAGCACAAAGCCCTGAGTTCAAACCTCAGTCCCATGTCTCCAGAACTTGCTCAATGATTTGGCAGGGTGGGAGGGGAATAGCCTTGGTTGTGAACCACTGCCCTCCTAACAGATAGAATCCTGATAGATTCTAGGTGTTTAGTGAATGTTTGTTGAATTAACACATCAATGCTATGTAAGAATGAAAGGTTGAATGAATCAAGTGAATAAATACCTACTGTAAATAAATAAACCCAACCAAAATTGCAGTGGGGGTGGGGAAGAGGAACACAGCACCTTATTACAGCTTTTATACACTCATCAAATCAAACCTGAACTCTATCCCAGCAGTCAAGTCTCTTTATGAACTGGCTCTGCTTTCTTCCTATCTTTGTCTTGTACTTCTTGCTCTTGACCTATGTGCTATCATCCAAATTTGGTGCTTGCATTAAGACAAAGAATTTATCTGTTAAAGAATTTATCACTTGCATTCATTCCTACAAGAGTATCTGTACATGTATATTACTTTTGGTCTTAGTGGTATTTTGGTTTCACACACATACATAGGTACTTTCTTCTCAACTGTAATAGCTCCCTGGTAGAAGGGCTTCCCCCTTGAAGTTTTTTCTTCCCCTCAGCACTATTGCAAGCTTTATGGGCAACAGATGTTTAGCTTTTGCTTGAAGTTCATGTTTTCTTTCAGGAACTGGCAAGCTGGGAGGTGTGTTAAATCTGTAATTTGCATGGTCCTGACGTAGTTTTGTTTTTAAGAGGCATGGGGTTAACGCTTTAAAATCTTGCAGTTTTTTGAAAAAATAAACTCATTCATACAAATATGAATGAAAGTAGTTTGCAAATGTTTTTTTTTTTCTGTGAGAAGGCATTAAATGTACAAGCAATAAGAAAGACAGCAATGGCTGCATTTTGTCTTAAGTTTTGATCGTGCTTGAATTCCAGTTATGATCTCTTCTCATTGCTTGGCAAAACTGTATTAAGACTGGAGATCATGTGACGTGAAACAAGTCAGAATCAGAAAGAAAGATACTGCATGGTTTATCTCATATGTGGAATCTAGATTTTAAAAAAAGTCACGAAAGAAGAAGTAGAAGGAAAACTATCTGGGAAGAAGGGGATTGGGAGGAGGGGACCAGGAAGGGTATACATGGATGATTGAAGCACATTATTTGAATATATGAAAATGTCACAATGCAATCCTTTCTTTTGTACAATTAATATATGCTAACAAAAATGTATTGGGAAAACACCCTGCAGCCTTCCTAGTTTATTCTGTAGTCTACCTTCCACAGGTGTCTCATGTCCACGCACTTTCCCCAATGCCTGTGTTTGGAAATTGCCCCAAACTGCTGTTGTACAGAGCTCAAGTTTTTCTTGGAAACATTCATGTCTTATCTATGTTTGCTCTCCCAGAAGGCATCTGATCCCCAGGGTTCAATGGCAGTGAAGGCGACAACTCCCAGAATTCACCAGCACTGTCTTTGAGCCCCCTTTGTGTGACGGGATAAACAGAGCAGGCACAGAAAAATGAGGTTCACTACTCACTCTGTAACCCTTAAAAGATGAAAGGTTTTTGTTCATGTCTTGTTAACTGTGTCATTGGCAGACCACCCTCTTGAGACTTAGTCTCTCCAGTTAAGAATTCAGGGTCTCCATTTAGTCCTCTCTTATTCACCCTCTCCTATGCCAACTCATGCCCTCTCATTTAAGATACAAGCCCAAGCACTCCTCAGGGCCCTGCTTCCTCCATGGTTCCATCTTGTTCATTTCTCACTTCCATATTCTTGCCTCATGTTCATACTCAGCTCCGTACCAACTTTGTGGTAACCCTCACTTCTGAAAATGTACCCACTCTTTCTCAGGACCAGGGGCTTCCCAATGGTGCACATTTGGTGGCTTTCTCAGTTCTTCAATTCCTTCAGTCTTTGATGTAGCTAATCTACCCCCCTGAAGTTGTCTTATGGTTCACTTTTCTACCTCTTGAATTCTATTTGTTGTCTTCTTTCTCAAATGCCTCATAGTCTCATGTCTACTTTGGATGTCAATCACTTCAGGAATCCACCTTCAGCTTTCCCCTTTTCCCCTTTAATTCTCCTTCTATACATGACTTCTAATATCATCATATCTTCATATATAAATTAAATGCAATGGGCACCAAATGCACCTGTCCATTTTCCCCACCCTCTGGAAGTTCCTGCCAAGATTTTCAACTAAGCATTTGAGATGCTTAGTAACAAGCAAACCTGCTATTCCCATGGCTTGTTCTCATACTTGTTAGACTGTACTTCAAGCTGGAAACAATTTTTTTTACAATATTGTTGTACTGGAAGTACATAGTGACATTTACAAAAGTTCTTATATCATAGTTGAATTCACCCCCTCCATCGTTCTCCTTTGCCCCCTTCCCCCATTCCTGGAAGTTTCAACAGGTCTCATTTTTCCATTTACATACATAAATAAGTACATATTTCCACATCATTCACCCTCTTATACCCTTTCCTTATACCCTCCCCACCTGCAGGACCTTTTTGCCTTCCTGTTCTCTATTTTTGAAAAAAGACATTTTTGTTTAAGATAGCTATACAGAGTGTTTCATTGTGACAGTCCCCAATTATTATAACCCAAATTGGTTCATCCCCTCTATTTTTCTCCTTTTTACCTTAGACCACTTCTTACGGTGGTTTCACCAATTTGTAATTTTTTAAACTTTTTTTTTTATGGCACTGGGGTTTTGAACTCAGGGCCTCACACTTGCTTGGAAGGTGCTCTACAGCTTGAGGCACTTCACTGGCCCTGGAAACATATGTTGAAATCTTTTGACTCTATTTCATTCTTTTCATGTCAACAGATAATCAAAATGGAGTTCTCTTTGTCTGTTTTCTTCCTGCTCTTCTGTGTTAGAAAGTCTCTAAAAGAATTCCTATCCCAAAAGTTCCTTGTTCTGAAGGCAGTGGAGTACCAAGTTCAAATCTGGAATTCAAGGTTCTCCATCACTGTGACCCTATGACATATGCTCCTTCAGAGCCTAATTTCTTACTACTGCATTGGCCTGGCCTAAGCAAACTGCATTCTAGCCTCAGCATGCATCATGCACTCCCTTTTTCCAACTAGGAAGTCAAAGCTTTGCTCAAAGGTTCTTTTGAAGCACCTTTACTCTTGGAGATAATCACTACCTCCTATGCTCTACAGTATGTTCTCTGTAGTTCTATTATGCCATCAAGTAATACAGTGGTTCTCATGTTAACCTATGGTCTGGCAGGGTCTGAACAATGTCATCTATTTGTTGACCTGTCACCCATCCAGCTACCCAACTGCCTACCTATCCATCCATTTATCTTTCCATAAACCTGCCTAGCATTTTGAGACTATTATGTTTAAGATCCCCTAGAGTGCTAGAATAATATTCTAGGAGTTAGAATATTATTTAATTTCTACAGAGACAATGGTATATGTTGCAGGTTAAGTACCTAATATAGGCATCCTGAATCATTCATGTCTTGACTGTTAAATTTCCAGGGCTAGAGTCTAATACTTCCATGCCTTATGTATAATAAAATTATAAAGTTCTTTTTTCTGATTTAAAAAAATTCCAAGGCTCAATAATAATCTAGTTGGTGCCTAATAAATACGTCAAATGGATAAATAAGTTGATTCCTAGAAACTGAAAGACTATTGACTGAGATATAGGTTCACCTCCCAATTTTTAAAAACTTTTATTTAAAAGTTATCAGTTACAGCTGGGTGTGGTGGCTGTAATCCTAGCTACTAGGTACTCAGGAGGCAAAGATCAGAAGGATCATGATTTGAGGCCAGCACAGGCAAAAAGCCAATGAGATCCCATCTCGGCCAATAAAAATCTGGGTGTGGTGATGTGTGCTTGTCAATCCAGTTATGAGGGAAGTGTAAATAAGAAGATCTCAGCCCAGACCACTAGGCAGAAAGTGAGACCTTATTCAAAAAATCCTAAAGAAAAAAGGACTGGGAGTGTGGGAATGTGGCTTAACTGCTACAGTGCCTGCCTGCAAAGTACAAGGTGCTGAGTACCACCAAAAAACCAACAAAAAAGCAAGTTATCAGTTATGTAGAAATTTTCTCTTCCACAAAGCATCTCCTGAAACAGATGAGCACACTGATACCTGTAGGGAAGTTAGGGCCTGGTATAGTAGACTAGCAGTCCTACAGGAAGGCAGTCCTGGACACTGTAGCCTGAGATAGCTCCTGCTAGGACTGAGACTCACACTCACCTGTCCTGACCAGGCACCGCCCCCATGGCAGCAGTTAGGCTTTTAAATTGTTATGTTTCAATTTCACCATTCCCTTGCAACTTTACTTTGTAATCATTCTCTCAATTTTTACTTTTCATCTGCTTGTATACATCACACTATTTTCACCTATGTTCCAATCCTACAGCCCAAAAACATACATGAGAGAATAACTGGATGAAGTGCATGATTATAGCAAATACCCTAAACATGTTAAAATTTTTCATGGAGAACCAAATTAGATATCAACCTTGATGTTACTGCTCATTTAATTGAATAAAACTGGCTTAAGCGACAATAACTGACAATACAAACACCCATGTTTGCTTTAAAGTCTTTATTATCCTGAATATAAAAGACAGAAGTCCTCTAGGATATAGCAGAGTTTTTTTTTTTTATGTGGAAACATTATTTTTTTACAAGTGAAAAAATAAATACCTCTTGGAATAAAGGCTTATATGCTAATATGTGCCATAAAAAAGTAGAGTTTTTTAATATTTGACAAAACGTCTGTGCAAAGAAACAAATGCATAAACACATACTGCTGCATTAAGGCAATATGAAAAGTACATCAGAAATCTCAGTAAAGTGACAGTGTAGGTTCCTAGCTTTAGCTTAGCTAGTATTGCACCCGAGAAGGTCATCTAGGTTTCCCGACATCCTAGAAAACCCACTAGCTGACCAGTTTCCAAAATGCCCAAGTGGGAGTGGAAAACATGTTTAAGAATATAGAGACAAACAGAACCAAAGCCCCTCTGACAGACACAGAGGGGGCAACCAAAAAAATATTTAAGCATTTACTTAAAAAACAAAACAAAAAACACACAAAAAGGAGATAATATCTAGAAACCTGTGATAAGGCTGTAAAAGATTTGATCATTCAAGCAAAGTAACACCCAAGAGTGAAGCTGGAGTCAGTGTGTGGGAGAAGTGGATTGTCCTGTGTGCACCAGGCGGCTCCATATCTCAACAAGCTGGGCTTTCCCTTCCCATGAAAATGCTCTCCCCTTATAATCTAAAACACCCACCAGCTCAAAAGACCAAGGAGTGCTTGACTACTCCACAGAAATCTTTTAACCAAACTGGTAGCATTTTATAATCCAAAGGTATGGAGCCCAGGACCAGGGGAAGAGGAAGGGAAAACCCACCCCCGCTGAGTTACCTGCTTTCTCCTCGCCAGCTGGTTTAAATCTAACAGTGCTGTTAACCTTTTAAAAGTCACAGAATTGATTTTTAAATCTGCATGCTTTCCAATTATTCTTGAACAAGTCAGAGAAACAGAAATGAGAGTTTAACAATGAATATTTAAGAAAAATTTTCCTATTAAAGATGTTTGCACTCCATGACCATCCCAAAAGAACCAAGTAAATTCCTACAGGATCTGCTGCAGGTAGAAAATGTACTTCAGATATATTAAGGGAACTAAAACGACATCATTTCCTAAAAGTACCCACTTTCTGGCTGCGTTGCCACTTAACTGACAAAGATTTTACCTATTCCTTTACTTGATCATTAAAAAAAAACCAAAGTCCAAGGAATGTGTCCATATCCCAGAGCTTTTCCTGGTCCCCAGGGGTTGTTGGTTCTATGCATGGATGTGTTTTTGCAGTGAGGATTAGCTGTGTTCTTGTTCTTCTTTGTTTTTTTTTTTTTAATGTTGCATGGCAGATGGATGTTGGGAGTGAGATATTCTCCACAAAATTATTATTCTTATAGTTTACAATAGTGCAGTTCGTGGAAACATGGCATGTCCAATAAATGCAGGACAGATTAGATTACAGTTAGATTGAGAAGACTGGTGTGGGTTGGCAGATAGACGTGCTGGACGTGTTCAACACGAGATCGGCAGACTGGACACAACTGAAAAAGAGAAGTCAACAGCTCTAGTTAGAACACTTTGGCAGGCCCTGGGTCTTGGTTTTCACCAATGGTACCTATGGCACTCATTTTTCCAGATAAGTTGTGGCCACAATGGTTTCTAAGCTTTCAGTTGGTAGAGATCTTTGCTCTGTAACAGGTTTGAATGTTTATACTTTTCAAAGGCTTCAAGACAAATATTATGAAAAGACATACACTGAAGGAAATTAGGTTTCCCATTAAAGTCTAAACAAAAAACAATGAGTGGAACATTACCAAACACTTGTTCTCTGCAGGCCGTGGCCCCTACAACAGTAGATCATGACACCTGAGGCTGTCATGCTGGAGACCCTTCCAGAGACTGTGGCCTTGGCTCAGCTGACTGACTCAGGCTAATGTTAGTTACTGGACAGAGGCCATGTGGCCAAGGTGTTCAGCTCTGCCTCTACTCCCAGACAACATCCTGACATTCCTGGTGGCCTCTCAGCAAACATATGCCCTTTGTCAGCCATAAGGGAAGACTTAGGCACAAGGGTCAGAATTTATGGGCAAGTCCACAATAGCTTCTGGGGGAAAACAACTCATCATAGCAGCATGATATGGTGAGCCTACTCATGGTGTCCTGTGCACTCATTATCCAGCCTGCAAAGCAGCTCTGAAATCAGCAGCTTTTGAAGGACTGGGTGACACTTACACAGTTACTTCTACATAAACCCATAGTGACATTTAGCAGATACTTCTGAAATGAAGTCAATTAAAAAATTACTGTAAGAGGAAGTGTAAGGTATAAGAAAGGAAAGAAATGCTGTGTATGAGTTACTTTTGTTTTTTGTACTAATATTAAAATTAGTTTGACTTGATGGAAAATAAGAGCCAGTCCAAGAAGCCCCTGGAGATATCTATAATAAAAGGAGATTAAACACAAATAAATAGAGTAAAGACCTCACCCATAGGAAACAGAGTTTACCATAACTCCAAAATCTAAGTAGTCTTTCCCAAGTATCTTAGGCAAGTAATAAAGACCTTTCTCTTATGTGCCAGAAAACAAGAGTCAACTTGAAATGGAAGAGGCAGGCCTGGATGCCAGCCCTTGGTTTATCCACTAGATGTGTTACTTTATAAATCCAAACCTTATTTCCAGAACCTGAACAAAAATTCTATGATTTGGAGTAACTGCTGGTGAAAACAGTATGCTAAATCTGAAATGTTTCCAAAAAGCAATACCCTTTAAGTTACCAGACACAGAGACCTTTCCAGGTAGAGATGGGCATTCTTTGTGTCTTAGCCAGCCAATACCTGACACCTAGCAGGCATTCATTAACTACCTGACTACAGGCCAGTAATCCTGCCTGGTTTAAGCCGGTGACACTCCTCACCTGCAGCTGGGCAGCGCAGCTCTCACAGCACACAGTGTGGCCACAAGGGCAGAAGGTGGAGTTGATCTCCTCCTCGCAGCACACCATACACAGCATGGCTTCCTTCAGCTTACGTAGCTTCTCCTGCAGTGCCCTGGTCTGCTGGCAGCTGAGGCCCTCACAGCTGCTGCAGTTCATGCTGCTTTCTGAGGACTTCAGAGGAGAGTTGGGAGGGCTCTGGTCACTTCTTGAAACGAGGTCCACAACACCAGCATTGTAGAGCGCTCTCCTAGCATGGTCATACACCTCCTTTGATGTTCTTTTAATATCAAAGACATACTTCTTGCCAAGGTTAATGTTTTCATTCAGAAACAGAGATGCCAAGTGACCCTTTAAGTCACGACTATACTGCATCATGACAGCACTGGTCACTGTGTCACACCTGCAAGGAAAGATTAAACATCTGATATAATATAGAAGAGCCCAGGGAACTGTGAAATTCAGACCTTTAGACATAGCTATTAATAAGACTATTCTCAGTGGGTTTTTTTTTTTTTTTTTGAGACAGGGTCTCACTATGTAGCCCAGGCTGGCCTGGAACTTGCGATCCTCCTACTTCAGCCTCCTGAGTACTGGGATTACTAGTATTTGCTACCACATCCAGCTTTTAATATCTAGACATTTAATATCTTGTGTGCAGGCCTGAGAGTAAGTTCTTCCCATGTTATATGTGCTAGATAGATCAATTACTCCATCTCTGTGTTTCACAAGAGTCTCCAAAATACATGTGAGGAAGCAGTTGCAAATAAGGAGACAGAGAACATCTAGCTCCTCCTCTAGGCTATGAGCAGCAGTACAAAGCAATTGTGGAAGAAAAACGACATTGTTCTTTGAAGTCCTGACTTTTATGTTAAAAATGTCTGCAAATTTTCCATTCTGCTCCACAATGAATTTTTAAGATAGCCTACCAATTATATTTCTTAGCTTTAATTTTCTAAATATTTGAGTCTAATCATAGCTCAGTTTGAAGATACCCTCTGGAATGAGATGGATATTTTAAGAAATCCTTAAGGACACAGGATGGGATCTCATCCAGAAGGGAAAGATGACTTGTGTCATCCTTCTGCTGGGAAAGGGCAAACCTGTAGCAGCACAGGTCAACCATGGGGGCTATCCTGGCAGAGGGGTGGTATAGGGAAATAAGGAGAGAGATAAGCAGAATGTAGGTGTGGCTCATGCATGGGCACCTTTCTGTGGGGAAACAGGATGGTAAGGACTCCGCTGCTACCACAGAAACAAATGATCCAAAGCAGCCAATTTCTTAAATTCTTACAAGATTCACTGACACAATGATAGAACAAGCTATAGAAGTCTGCTTGTCACCTAACAATCTTAGAGTTGTGGCACTGAGCTTATCTATCAGGTACATAGAGGTACATGCCTGTAGAAAGCGTGCGTTTCGGTGATTGCTCGATAGAGCCCACTGGCTGCTCTGGTGCTAATCATTTTAAACAGGAGCACAATGCTGTTCCCAGACTCCTTGGTGATGGTCAAGTACACATTCTTTCCTGACTGGGTGGCCATCTGCACCACAGGATAAGCTATCCTGAAAGACGGGAAGAGAAAAGTGAGCAAGCACAGAGGAGCAATTTATCAAACATGCACATGCCTTTGCAGGCTCCCCATTTGTCCAGGACCTGGCAGTAAAACCAGACACTCTTATCTTCCAAGTTACACACGCACACCAAAGAACGGTTGGGCCTCTGTAGAGAAAAGTGTTGGAGCACATTCTGTGTGTGCATGTGAGTGTACAGAAGGGAAAAATGAGATTGTTATGCAGTGAACACTTACTTGAAAAATACTAATTCTGTCATATTACTACACTTTAAGTTAGCATTTAAAAAATAACTAAATGGTTATTAAGGCCGGAATAAGATTAATGTGAATACCACAATGAAACACTTTATTCCTAGTAAATTCCTGTTCATCGTCTATTTTCATGATGACAGCTACAGATGTATGCATACGCTTAGGTTTAAGAATATCTGAAGCTTGAGTTACCTATTGAGTGGGGTAAAGTCATCTTTACAAATTGAGATTCCTTCAGGTCCAACCCCAATGAGGAGTCTCTGCCCTTCACTGTCCCTCACAGCATGCCATTCTATGCCATAGTTTTCCATTGCTGACACGAGCTGCAGAACTTGGTACTCAGCTGAAGCCTGGCTGGTCCCCTCCAACTCCTTATGCTTTGCAATGATGCTGTGGGACAACAAAAAGGTGGAAAGTTATACAGAGAGATACCATCCTTAAAAATTAATCTATGTACTCATCACTAGTAGATTACTGTGATATGGTCACTTATGGATCATAACAACATAAAGCTATACTATGTTGCTTCATTTATTTAGCAACTTACTTTAAAATACTTCTTAGATACTGTTCAAGATCTTGCCTATCAAATATTCAGTAGAGAACACTTCTGGGAATGCTGGATGCTTGGTGATGAAAGAATTATGAGAAATTTCTAAAAATACATTCAGGAAATTTATGTTGGAATTCCTCATGCATTTATTTGCATATACTTTATAAGCTTCATTATAGTCTAGCATTATAAAGGATTGATTAGATCATTTACAAGCAAGGAAAATGCAGGAATGACTTTTTCTACTGTGGTGGAGAGCCTCTTGGGGGTCCTTGATGATCCTACGTACTAAAAGCCACTCCTTGTGCACATTCTTCCCTCAAGTGTGGGTTGGATTAGCGACTTGCTTCTGATGAATTGAATATGGCCAACTCATGGAATGTGACTTGCTTTTGAGATTAAGTTACCAAAGGGTTTGATTTCCTTCTTGGCTGTTATCTCTTGCTCTGAGTTGGATCACTCATGCTAGGGGAAGTAAGCTGCCACATGAAACAGCACTGAAGCTGGCAAGGGAAGGGGGCCAGCCAACCACAGAAGTCACCCTGGAAGTGGAGCCCTCCCTCAACTATGCTTCCAGATGAGACTGAACTCCAGCAGCTTGACTGCAGCCTCCTGAGAGGTCTCGAGCTAGCAGACTCAGTGAAGCGTCATGGCAGATTCCCAGCCCACATATTGCTAAATATTGAGGTAACTTGTTATACTAGAATAGATAACTAAGACACCTATGTTAGGCCTCTTGATCTAATTCTTGTGGGGATGAAGAAAATACAAACAAATGATAAACTTTCATTGTAGGAGATTTGTAGTTTTAAAGGTAAGAGATTTAAGAAATTCACATTATATATAGCATTTCATATAAAGGCAATTATTTGTGTGGACTATGTTTTGTGTTTATAGGTTTCTCAAATACAAGGCAACTGAATCCCTTGAAAATAGCTGGCTAACTTGGTCAATGGCCTCCTGAATTATCTGTATGCACAGAAGCTCACCTTCCTCTGGAGAGTCTTATCAAGTTGTGGACATACACACGAACCTTCAGCAGCCTCACCTGTTCAAGGTGGTGCTGGAGAGTTCCTTTGCACACAGCTCCTCATAGTTGTACTTGGCAGTGTTCTGATTGTAGTCCCCAAACTTGGTCTGGGCCAGAAGGGCACTGAGCTCCACTGCCTGCTCTGGGGAGCACTGGAGGTGGCCTGCCAAAAGGGACTCCCTGATGTGCAAGAAAAAGATATGCCTGCAAAGCAAGGTGAGAATGAGGTTAGGCTTAGGGTAATTGGGTATCAAAGTGAACCTACTGGGCTGGGGTGGGGCTCACTGGTGGAGCATTTGCTTAGCATATGCAAGAGGGCCCTGTATTCCAGTAAAGAAAACAGACCACTTAAAAGTCACAATCAGTAAGGTTGCCATTATAGAACCCTTTTTCAATCATGAGCAATAATACAAAGTAAGTCTAAGACTAAGTTTCTCTGTAATAGAAACTGCAACCCATACAAAATACATCCAATAAAGACAAGTTGAGTAGCAATCAGGTTACAAAATGTAAAGTAATTATAAGTTCCCTCATTATAATGTTGAAATGTTTAAACCTCATCTTTATTCAAATGACACCCAAATTTCTAAGAATCATATTCAAATGTCTACTTGGCTATAGACCCCACCACTCCAATGTTTTTTAGCACTTCAATTTCAGCTTATTCAAAACCAACCTCATTGACTTCTTCCCCAAACCTGCTTTCTTTCCCAATGGAAACCACAGACGCTTTGACTCTCTGTCCTATTTCCAACTACTTCCTTATTTGTTCCCTTCCTCAGACTGGTGCCTCCTCAGGCCTGCTGTCAAAGAGTTTACACATCCTCAGGGCGCCTCTTTCCTCCAGACTCTGTCAGCCCACCTTCCAAGTTGCTTGCTTTAGTGCAAGCACTCATTCTCTGCTCAAAGTCCTTTAAGGAATTCCCACTGCCTGCTGAGGAAGCACAATGGTAGCATGAGACCCTGGCTTTTCCACCATCTGGCTCCAGCTTTCCAGTCATATCTCCTACATGCCATCCAGCCATATGCTCCAGGAAAGGGAGGATTCCTCTCCTTGGGAAATCTGGTCTTGCTGCTCACCATGTTTTGATGACCATCCCCCTCTTGTCTCTAACTCGGATACCCTTGAGCCTGCATTGCAAATAAACTATCTACTCCTGAAGTATAGCATTTATTTTGTACAACTGCTCATTCTATCAGTTAGTTGTATATGAGTTGATTTATTTTATATTCAAACTTTAGTTTCATCCTGTTTAAGCCTGCCCTAATTGCATATAATACCATATTCTATATCTACTAAAAAGTATGTCACACTTAGAAACTCCTGGGAAAAATTCATATATTGTTCATATTGCCTCCAATCTACACTTCATCTTAGCCAAAAGGCTGAGAAGCAATATATTACCTGAAGTTCTGAGGGGGCATCTAAACCTCCACAGAAGGATTGTCCTAGGTTATAAAATTTGTCTCTGGAAAATGTGGAGTTTTTAACCTTCCTTTGATGACTTCTGGTAGCCTATTACTTGGACTTAAATGGCAATATTATTTTTCATTAATAGATGAGTTATGCAGGCTGGATGTGTGGCTCAAATGGTAGAGTGCTTGCCTCAGGAGAAGTGCATGACCTTGAGTTCAATCCCTAGTATTGAAAAAAGTTAAAAAAAATAAATACATGCATACATACATAAATATGTATGGCCATTGGTAATGCTCTGAACACTACACCTCAGCTCAGTTCCCCACTTTGACCAAGTATGGTGTACTTATTCAAGTCCTCAGTATATAAGTTGCTCATATACTATACCTGGGTCTGACATTCCAGGTAGAGAATAACATAAGACAGGTAAGAGAAAGATGCATTAGAAAGCGAAGTTACAGATACAAGGAGGGGCTACCTCAAGAGTCTTAAAATATCAGATTGTCAAGAGCCATTCATCTTCATTAACCAAGAAGATTCAAATTTAATCTTTTGTGCCTTTGGTAATGAAAAATATTTAAACTCATAATGAAATGATTCATCTCCCCAATACTGCAGTTTTTTCCTTATTCAAAGTCCCCATAAGAAGTCACAGTAAGAATGCATAATAGCACTGAAAGAGGATAGACATGGTTTTTATAAACACAGCATCTGCTGGTTAGCAGTATGTACTTCTGATATAGTACTAACCTAAGAAGGGGGCCCTGCTAGGGCAAAGAAATCACCACAAAAAATAACTAGTTCTAAACCAGCTAAACACAGATATAACATTGTTTAAAAGCCCATGGCTTTAGCCACCAGAGGGCTTTGGTCATTCAGTAAACATTTTGTTACCCTGCCTCTGGCTATTTAATCAGGGTTATGTTTTCTGGAAACTGAACTCTGAGTCTATGCTTACATTCAAGAAATTATGTGCCACTTTAATTGCTGCTAATGTAAAGGTCTCTTTTGACTTATTTTCCTAGTATAAAGTTAGAAACTGCTTCCTGCTTTATTAAATAGTAAGTATAGCCTGCCAAAAAAAAGTTTCAAAACTGATTCATTTCCTTCTTCCAAACTCTCTGTCCTTATTCTGGAGAAACAACTGCCAAAATCAAAGAAGCAGTAACCAAACGTTAACAGTAGTCTGAGAGTAACAGGGGGCAACTGGTCTTTTCTACATACAGTGTAGGCTAGACTACAAACATTACCTGGTAAGTGTGAAAATCCTCCTCCTTACTGTTTACATGAACTTTCTGACAGGCCCTTCTTGTCTTTTGCAGTTTCAAGGCTATAAAGTCACCTTTTCATTTTAAGTCAACATTTCAAGGAACATATCCTATCAAAACACCTCCAGTCACTTGGGTGACAAGTGTTTGCTCTCCAGGAGAGCCAGCAGCACAAGGGAGCAGTGGCAGCCAAGGTCACCAGCTATAAGGACCTATTAGTAGACCCTGATTGTGCACTTTCCAAGAGGGGGACAGCAGAGCTCAGAGCCACATTTCAACAAGGAGTCCAATGAGGTCTACATATTTATGAGCGCATTTGAAATAGGCTTCTATAATTTCCCCCTCTAACTTACTGGCCTGTCACTGTCTGGCTGGCTCCTGCCCCCTCCTTCTTCTCCTTCTCCTTTTTTTTTTCATGAAATGGGTGAAAGGTTACCAATAATATCAAAACAAGCAGATGTCGTCAAAGAAGTGGTGCTTGCAGTGAATCTTTATTTTGTACTAGATCAAAAATGGATGGCATATCTAGCTCAATATGGACACAAACAGAAAGGCTTTGAAAACGCCATTTTCTTTGTTTTAAGCAAATGTCTGAATATATCCTATGAACAATAGCTCAAGCTGCATTTTCTAGCTCTTCTTTGGGTTACACTTTAAAATTCCTTATTTAATTTTATCTGGTTACAAAGGAAATGGGTACCTTCAAAATATGGACCCCATTTTGCAGTACAATGGGAAACATTCTGGCTAACTCATGTCTTGGCATCATGGGTATAAATGAATTCCTTATTTAGCATTATGGAAGATTAAAAACATGAGCTGAATATACGGAGGGTGATTTTTAATTTAAAAAAGAATCACATATTTTTAATATATTTTTGTTTTGAAGTACTTCAAATTTCCTCTTTTTAAAATGAATGCCTTTTTATAGTACTAAGGAATGATGTTAATCATTTACCTTTACCCCTTGTAATCAGAGAACTGTCCTCTGAACAATCATCTGGAGCCCACCCAGGGCTTTCTACAAACCTGTCAGGAGTTGTTGATCTGCTCTTCTGGGACATTCCTTGCCGTTCATTACCTCCCTCTTTATATTAAGAGTTCTACCATTTTGAAGAGCTTTTCATGGCAACTTTAAAATCACATCCAGATTCACCATTATTGCTCAAAACCTAAGTAACCTAAACATCTTTAAAATGCCTAAGAAGCTATTTTCAAAAACCCTCCATTACCAAGAATTGAAGGGTATTTCTCTGGGAAAGGCATGCCTACACCTGGCCGTGGCAAGTAATGTCCAGCCTGTCCCTTACCTCAGTCAAACCCCACTGTAATCACGCCTCACTTGCCCCTGCCCAAGGAGTCACTTAACCACGTTGGTTTATTTTAATCTAAACTCTGACTGCCAAGTTTTATTTGAAAACTATCAAATCAAAACAGAATTGCTATGAGAGTTTTTTTGTTTTAGATCTTAACATTCTAGAAAGACAGAAAATCAGTTCAAGATGGATCATAAGCCTACATGTTAGAGCTAAAACTAAAAACTAAATGTAAGACCATCTTCATGATGAGGGAATTAGCAAAGGTTCCTCAGGACATAGCAAAAACCACAAAGAAAAAAGTGGATAAATTAGACTTCACCAAAATAAAAACTCCTACACACCAAAAGGCATCAGGAAAGTAAGGAAGCACAGGAGGACGTACATTTATAAAACTTAGATCTCACAAAGACTGGTAACTAGGATACAAAATGAATTTGTATAGCTCAAAAAACAAAGGCAAGATGAGTAAATAACTTGAATAGATATCCCACAAAAGAATATATATGGAAGGCCAAAAAGCACATGAAAAATACTAACATTATTAATCACAGAGAAATGTAAATTAAAACCACAACACTGTACCACTACATACCACCAGAAAGCTGGCAGAGATGTGGAGGAAATGAACTCTCCTACATTCTTTGTGGCAGTATAGAACAGCACAATTGCCTTAGGAAAAGGTCTGGCAGTTACCTATGAAATTAAACAATTGCCTACTCTAAGACCCAGCTATTCTATTCTTGGGTAGTTACCCAAGAAAAATGAAAGCACATGTGTCTACAAAAAAAACTTGTACTAGAACACTCAGAGCAGATTTATTCACGGAAAACAGGTGCTCATCAATAGGTCTATGGATCACCAAACTGTAGTACATTCACACAATGGAATACTATCCAGCAATAAAAAGGAACAAACTGGGCTGGAGATGTAGCTCACAGGTAAAGAGCTTACCTAGCATGTGCAAAGCCCTGGGTTCAACCTCTTTCCCCCCCAAAATGGGCAGAGCACTGATATCTACAATAGTATGGGTAGATCTGAAAAAATTTAAAAGAAGGCAGACACAAAACAGTACCCACTACATGATTCCATCTGCATAAAGATGAACAAGCACAAGGAGTCTATGGCGGAAAACAGGCAATGGTGGTCCTGCAGTGGACAAGGTAGAGGTTGGATAGACTAGATGGGGACTGACTGCAGAAG